TTAGCTTTTATGGAACGTGGAACGTGTACTTAAAAGAGATGCCTAATTGTCAAATCCAAATTGACACTAAAGTTGTAATAAACACTGATTATCATAACAGCCAACATGTTCAAACTGGCCTTTGTCATTGCAATTGCTGCTTCTTCCTATTATTATTCAATCAAGTTAAGCTACTGTTGTTTTTATGGCCTCACCCTCTTCCACGGCATCTGTTCCCCACTTTGGTCTGTGCTCTCCTTTAAAAGAGAAAAATTCCAGCTGCAGAAAGCAAAGCTGTTCATGTAAATAACACAGAAAGAGACAGGCATGCATATGAGCATCCCATCAACCCTTTTTTCCTTGCACATACACCTCCCATCACTCTCCTGTAATAAAACACATACTGCTGTCCATTCACAGAACTATGCTGCTGACATGCGGGCTGTGCTGCCTGGCTCAAATCCCCCATGGCCCCCTGGCTTTTACAGGGCTGTTCTGAATCAACACAGGAGTTCAGCTTTAACTTCCCCACTGGAAGTTATTAAACGCCTTTTCCTCTACATTGTAGACATTACAAACTCCTTTTCAGTGGATTTGATTGCCTAAAACATGACTAAAAGATGTTGTAAACCTAAAGTAACTTTTATGTATATTTAAAAGGTCCCATCTTAACTGAATTTAGGACATTTAAACCAAACATGTGGCTCTAACTCCACCAAACAGAGAAAATACAAATAAAGACCTAGCAAAACAAACTCTCTGTATCACTGTAGTCAGTCAAAGACTGGCAGAAAAGAAGCCTGTACTTCTATAGGTGTTTTGGTAGAGGAATAACTCATGTTAATGTCATGAATGAAGGTTTACTCCCCCTAACTCAATGTGCTGCCTCAGCCAGTCTTTCACAACCAACCCATTCATAAAACTGCAGGGCTGAAGCCTGTGTATAAAAAACAAAACGTATACCAGCCCAAGTGTGTTTATGTACATGCGTGAGTAAGTGGAGGAGAAGCTGTCAAAAGAAATCATATGTTCATGTTAGAGAAATCAAGTGTTTTACTCATAAACAAAACAAAATGCCGCAACAAACACAGTCATTGAGGAAGGCTCGCCTCCCCCAGAGCGAGAAGGCGAGCGGTATCTGTGCATGTCTGGCAGGCACCTGGATGTTTTTGCACACTTTGTTGCATAGCAGCTGTATTTTGGAAAGTGGAGAACACAGAGCTGCATGTTTCTCTTTTGGGGAAAGAGGGAGCAGGGAAAGGGGGTGGGGATGGGTTCGATTCACCCATCGCCCCACGCTCCAAATAGGGCCTGATTGGGCCAGTTCGGATCCAGAAAAACAACCCAAACAAGAGGAACGCTGTGAATTCATGACAAAGCAGAACACAGGGAGCCAGAGAGCCACGCTGCTGGGAGGATTTAGTTAGAGCTGGGTTACTGGAACCTTTTCTTCTTTTTTCTACCTTCTTTCCTTTCTTTAGAAAGAGAATCAGCAACTTTTAGTAACAGTTTAAATAGTTATATTTTTAGGCAAACGTGTCAAATCTATTCTGATTCTGTCAAAGACTGATCAAAAAGGCAGTAAGATGGAGTCAGTCTATTCGTTCTATTACTAGACAGACCCTCTAATCTGAAACAAAATTCAGAAATTCCTCCAATCAACTACAGTCAACCATTGCAAAGAGATGGGTGGCAGACGAGCTGTGCTCAGTGCCACAAACTGACTAGGATTGATTGCAATGCATCATTAGAGGCTGGGCTACCTTAACAGGTGGTGAGAGGTACCTTTAGCCACCATCCTCTTCTGCTCAAGATTTAGTGCCAACTAGCATATAAATACGTCTAGAATTTAATGCACAGATTTGCAGGTGTCTGTGCAATGCATGGATACAGTCTACAGATGCGGTGTGCTAACCAAGCTTCCTCAGCTCTTCCAGATAACCCAACACTCCACCTGCTTGCCAAAATAAAGCCTCTCCTTGCTTCCAAACACCAAGATAGCCACAATGCTAAAACTGAGGCTTCAGAATAAGAGTTCGCAAAACAAACAGGTGCCACTGCGGTGGCTATGTCTATGTTTTATACACAGTTTGTGATTATATCTTGCATAACTTCAGCCTTTTAATGTCGGTCAGACAAAACAAGCAATCTGACAATGATGCCTTTGGGCTTTTCAGACACCTTTTGACACTTTCTGGACAGTGTATAGAAACGGATCATGCAGCCCTATTTCATAGCATGGTGTGCTACAATTAAAGAAAAGGTTGCAAAGAATAAAATGGAAAAACAGCTGCATGTAGACAATGTGTAAGGACCCCAGAAGGACGAAAGGTAGAAATTATTTTGACAAAGTTGATTTTCAGTTTTATGTGTTCATCTCTTTTTCTTTTCTTCCCCCTTTGCCCTCAGAAACTCTCGCTCTTTGTCATTTTGCTTTCTCTCCCTTGGTAAACTTACTCGCCGAGAAGAACTGTAACAGCATTCTATAGCCACAACTTCCTATATAATTACTGCAAGGCACAAAACTAAACAATCGTCCCACACAACTCTTAAAATCACTGGATTAGTTCACATCTTGGAACACTCAGTGTGTGCATGAATGTGTGTGTTTGGAGAGAAAGACAGAGAGAGGTAGAGAGAAAAGGGAAAGGGGAGTCCAGATTTTTAAATTTGACTTAGTTTGTACAGACACAGGAAGGGAGGGAGGAGTTTGGAGTATCTACTTGAAGAGTGGGGGGGGGGGGGGGGGGGGGGGGGGGGGGGCGTCAGAAAGGCGGGGGGGGGGGGGGGGGTCTGTAGTACTGTAGGGCTTTTTTATGAATGAAGACTGAAGGAGAGGACTGAGAGAGGGAGAAAGCGCAAGAGAGAGAGAGAGAAAGAGGGGGGAGGGAGAGGCACACTTCCTTTTACGCACACAGGGAAGAAAATTTATGAATGGGTCACATCTCTCGAGCTGCTCCAAGTGTAAACAACATACTTGAACAAAGAACAAGCTCTCAGTGCAGGCAAAGCCTCGGCAAACCCTCCGACTGTGGCCTTTTAGTGCGAAACTAGTGACGCGTCTAAACTATTTTAATTACGCTTGTGCACTGTAAATTTGACTGACACCTCCATGTGTTTCTCCTCCGAAGGCAGTAAACAGACAAAGTAATCTGTCTGACAGTAGCGTCAGCCTAACCCTTGAAGGTGCTGTCACCACAGAAAAACAAGCATTAATCCTCACGGGCAATCACATGAAGCCGATGGAAAAAACATAGGGTGCACTGTTATCACCAATGGCTCAATTACCTTTAAGCACACACAGGCAGGTCAGCAAGTACATAAAAGTTGCATGTTTGCATAACCTTCCCTCAGTGGCGGCCTGCAGACAGAGCATGCTTGTTAGCTGTGAACTGAGGGAGAATGGACCAGATGAGATAGATTTACCAGATGTGCAGGTATTGCACAATCCCTGCTTTGCCCCCTCCTCTTCTCTAATCTAGCATTCCAACATGTTCCAATGTTTTTGCCTCTCTTTTGCCATTTCACTGGCTCCACATTTCCTCCCTTCGTCAGCACCACACCCATGCAGGTAACAACTTGACTCGGTAAACAACAATGTTTAATTTTTTACTAGGATGCTTATTCAGTGGAGGCCTCAATTATATTCCGGTCACCTGGGATTAAGGCTTTCCTTTATGTTTTTTTTTTTTCTCAATGTTTTTGAGTTTCCAAAACAGGTGAGTCACCTCTTTCTTTTTTAAACACTTGCTGAGAACGCCTTTTCAGTTCAGCATGGGAACAGAACAAGCGCAAATATTTAAAGTCGCTTGTCAGCTTCAGTTTTCCACCAGTCAGAGCTGAATAGAGATGCTCTAAGTGGACTCAGCGGCTATTGACCGTGATCAGCAGGGACACTGTCTGTCAACGCAGGAGTGTCTCTGCTGCGTATAAGTGAGCTGCCTGTCAAATTGAAGCCCCGCTGACCCTGCAAATCATACCCAGGTCAACCCTTAGTGGAGGCCTGACAGCTGATTGGCTGACAGTCCAGGGGGTTAAGTAGACATGACCTCTGTGTGGCCCGGGGATCATCCGCACATCCTCCTCCGCATTGTCGGCCGACACAGTGACAATATTGCGCAGGGCATGTGTCACCGAGGGGCTGAACAGTGGTGACACGGAGCTGGTTAAATCACATGATGTTTGCACACAAAAGTCACATGGAGGAAGCGCCTTTGACCGGGAACCAAAGCTGCCAGTTTTACTTAGGGGGTGGGATTAATTCTAGAAGTTCCCTTTAAGATTCCTTTAAGATTCCAGCCATTTCGGTGTCATTGCTTAAGACGGAGAAGCCTTCAATGTGCTGAATGGGGCCGAAAAAAACAAAAAACTGTTTGTAGAGCAACACGTACTCCCACCCATATCCTGAATCGCCATTGTTAAAACACACAACAAGAAAGGGAAACTCATTCAAATAGGCGCTCAGTTGTGCAGCCCAGGAATTTGCTTTTCTATTTTACACCTTCCGATGTGGACAAAAGGCCATCTTTGTACCTGGGCCCTGAATAATTTTTTTACTGGTTTCCTGGGCCGTCTCCATTCAACTTTTCAAAGGCATGCAAATGGATGGCGGCAGGACATAATGCCAGGATCCAAACTCACTCCATGTTGACTGGGTCATTAGCCCCTCTGTTTCTGCATAGCTTTGCCTCCCAAAGAGATTACTGTAACATCAGCGAGTTACAGTATCCCCACGTAAGCCTCTGGTGGCTTCACAGCCCAAATCTGACCGCTGCTTTCATCCAGTCTTTCTCGTAACATGCAAAATTCAACAGGAATTATATGAACAGGCTAAATGCCAAAGCAGAAAGATGGGGTTAGACGGGCATGTACAGCACTGTGTGTTACATGACTCAATACTGATTGAATTTGAAATTTTGTGACAAAGTGTGGTCAAAAGGCCAGAGTTTTGTTTTCTATGAAACTGACACAGAGCGCATTTCCAGACATTCGTTTAAAGGACAAAAACTGAATGTACTCACAGTTCTCAGAATGGAAATCAGGAACAAATTGCTCATCGCTGTCAGGAACCTGAGCTGAAATTAAGAAGAAACAGATTGTGTTTTAGACAAGAATCTAATATTTCTCTACCTTTCTTTCATCTCTGATGGTGTAACTTTCTTCTCTTCTTTGAAATCTGAGTCGTGCTCATTCAGGTGACCTTCATGATTTGTGTGTGTAGCATGCCAGCAGTTTACTCATCGATAAATCAATAAAACAACAACATGGATACACTGTAGATGTTAACCTGCCAAACTGGTTTTGTGTAGCATTTGTAGCAGTCACACCAAGTCGGAGAAAATACAAATTTTTCTTTGCCCTTGCTTTAAGACTATTATATAGAGGAAATAAAGTCCTTCAGCCCCCCACTCCCCCACCCAGCCTGCCCGCTTCGATTTCACAATGTTTTTGTCTATAAGTGAACCTCCGCCTCTTTAAAAACACTCATCTCAAACCCGTCACTAACAGGCAGGTGTTATCTAGTTTCTACTCGAAATCCCAACAGACAATACAAGCCGCTCTGGCCAAACCAGTGAAGAGATCTGTCACATGGTGTGACAAACCAGCTCTTTTCTTTTTTGATTTGTTTCCAAAGAGTTGGGGACTTTTGTCTAACAATCTCAAAGCAGTCTGGATTTCATCTTCTGCAGAGATGGCGACTGGCTTAAAATAGAAGTAGAGAGAAAACAAGGAAACTAAAAGCAAAAAGAAGAAGTGGAAGAGCGAAACAAGAGCAAGTGAAGATTACGTGAATAGTTCCCCACAAAATCAAGTCTAGATAATTTTATTTTTGCTTGTAGGGTTATCAAGTATCTAGATTGTTTTGGTGTGCCATATTGGCTGTATTCTCTTGAATATAATAGAGCTACATTGACCGACCGCTTTATTAAGTGTACCTTGCTAGCACTGGGTTGGAGCCCATTTTGCTTTCAGGACTGCATTCTTCATGGCATAAATTCAACAAGGCGATGGAAACATTCCTCAGAGACTTTGGTCCATATGACGTGATACTGAAACAATGCTCAGTCGGTAATAAAGCAGGATGCTACCACGCTTTCGTGATGTTTACACCAAGTTCTGACCTCACCATCTAAATGTCACAGCAGAAACTCATACCTGATGATGTTTGTACAATTTTCTGTTGTCCGATTTTTTCGAGCTATTGCAAATTGTAGCCTCAGTTTCCTGTTTCTAGCTGACAGGAGCGACTCCTGGTGTGGTCTTCTACTTGAAGGTTTCGCATCTTGTGCGTTAAGATATGCTCTTTTGCATGCCTGGTTATTTGAGTTACTGTTGCCTTCCTCAAAACAATCTCATCCCTTTAACATCAAGAAGGAATTTTTGCCCAGAGAACAGCCGCTCGTTGGTTATTTTTGCTTTTTGCACCGTTCACTGTAAACCCTTGAAAAGGTTGTGCAGCAGTTATACTTAAAGTGGCCGGTGAGTGATTAAAATAAAAATGAATCTGCAAGCATAAATCCCCAAATTCCAGCCAAGTTTCAGTCCCATTAAAAGCTACATGATGTGATTTAAATCCCCCAAATATTGTGTAGATTGATAAAAGGCATTAGAGACAATGGATATGTGACTTTAGTAAAGTGCCCTCCATATGTGAGAGTGAATACTATTTAATGTGAGTAATATATTAACCCAAATTATATTCAGTTACCTTTCAGTGATAGAAAAGTTTGCATCTAAGAAACAAAATACACCCAACTTACACTGATTTGTAAAAATAGACGAGTCAATACGGTGATATGTGATATCTTCATCTGATCTGTAATGACTTGCAGTGGTGTACATTTTCAGTGGGCCTGATTAGGCACTCTCTCATAATGAATCTCATCTAGGATCTAACTGAATAAGCAGAGCCAGCGACGCCAAGCCCAGGTGCAGCAGAGCTAGACAGACGCTATTGTGCTACTCTTTCCAAACCCCATTCACAATTATCCTTTTGGAGCTTTGGACTTTGAGTCACACAAACGCAGTTGAAAAGCCTAAATCGTTGGACTGCCAACACCCTACTAAGGGTGAAGAGGTCAGATACACGCACTGGCATTTCTTTTGCCAACCCTCGAGTTAATGACCTAACCCTAATCGTAGCGCAGAGCCAGAGCTCGCAACCTTTTTAATCTGGCAATGCTCCAGCTACACAAGAGTGTGGACTTTAAGTGTTTCCATTGCTTGGGACTCAAACTTACGTCATGGTACAACCTAACTGGTAAGGAAAATTTGATGGGTATCATTAAATATCATGAACCCAATCAGGGGTGTAATGAGCTACAAAAAACACACTGTGGGTACTTAAGCATCATTTACCCACTAAAAAGAGGAAAAGTATCTACTTTTTAGATAAAGAGCAACTTTTTTTTACCTTACAAAAAGACATTTGCAGATGGCACTGCAACTCTGCAACAGGACCTTTGATTGTAACCTCACCCAAGAACCACAATCTGACCCAGCGTTCGACCTCAGTGGCCTCATCGCTCGCTCTCTCACTTCATCAGTGGAGACAACAAAACTCAGACAGCGAGCGAGCAGCAGAGGCAGAGGACAAAAAGAGGAAATAAGAAATTCAAATCCACTTTCTTGTTGTCACACTCCTCCTTCCTGTGCAGAGGAAACCGGATGACTCCGTTTTGGAGCATGTTCTGATAAATGACATCGATTTCTTATATAACGCCGCATCCTGTGGTTTACTATACCATAATAATATTACCCCCTTTTAACTTTTCAGTCTTTTGCCCTCAGGGGGGAGGAATAAAGCTGCCGTATGAGACAGAGCAGGGGCCAATATTTAGTTCTGCACATCCAACAATCAATCATTTCCACTAGTTTCAACATGTCCAAAGCGGAACATGCTGGACCTCGTAGAAACGCGGGAGAGGGAAAACAAATGATGAGCATCAGGCATCATCCTGTGTGTTTGTGTGTGCGTTTGTGTCTGCACACTTTCCTGTGTGCGTATGAGCGCTTGCACGTGTATCTGATTTGTTTCCAGGAACACCTCATCAGGGACTTTGAGATGCAAGTCAGCACAAGAAGGAAAGTGTGTTTATTCGGGCACAGACGCATGTTCTCCTCGATGCTTCCAGGCACCTTGAATGACTCCCCCCCCCCTTTCTTCTCACAGTGGGAGATCCTGGGAGGAGCTAAACAGCTACAGACATACAAACCTAAAGGCCCAGAAATCAGACAAGATGTGACAAGCTCCTGAACTCTTGCCATTCAGCGCTTCACCCTTTTTGTCTCACTCCTGCTTCCGCTCTCCTTTGGTAGAAAAAAAAAAATCCCTCCAGCAAACCAGCTTTTACAACCTCGGTGAATCCCTCACAACTGCAATCACTCATGATAAGGTCTTTAATTAATGCAACAGGAAAGGAGAGGTCTTAGCTGAAAGCTGAAAACAAGCCCCATACTTAGGGTTAAATAACACTTTGATAAAGTTACACTTACACACTTCGTTTGGTCTTTCCCCCACCCCCTCCTTCACTCTGTGACTCAACAATAAGCTGCCAAACAATGTTTTAAATTCCTTTAAACGCCTGGTTTATCTAATTATAGAAAGGGCCTAATTTTCACTTTAAATGTTGCTTTCTGTGGTATTTAGCCATGCAGACAGTTTTAGGTTTTATTGTTCCAGGATCTCTAGAGAAAACTCTACAAGTGACTTAAATATCTGAAAAACTAAGATTGAAACAGTCAAACGTCCATTATCAGATTTCAAAGGGACCGTTTCTTTGGTAGGAAGTTGCTATGCGAACTAAAAAGGCCCCGTGAATTAGTCAGCGTAACCACAACACTGTATCTGGGAAGCAACATTTCAAGACTGTGAGCGCCACAAACTAAACTTAATTTAGCTTCTATGTAGTAAAGTTGTTGGCAAAGATATCTAAATGGCTTAACACCACTGGAGGTAAGTGGAGAAGGTACATTTAAGTGTGGCCTTTAATAGCCAAATGTGTGAATACAAATAGGGCCTCAGCTTTGAAGTGACTTTCATCGTTGCACTTTATTGGTTTGGGGTCTTGTCTTTTTGTTAAAGCGAGACGCTGGTGTGAAGAGAAATTGCAGGTATTTGACGCCGCATGTGAAAAGGTGTGGAAGCTAACGTGGAAACGACATTGTTTGCTGTAAACAGTAGCTGGCTCAGAAGTAGGATCTATTTAAATATCCATCTGCTGTTTGGGCAGACACAAGCGCTTTCCACAAGGTCTCAGATCAAAGTTGCTTCACCTCCCTTATTCTCCTATGTACTACAGATGACTCAGAATGGGTCCCATTTGACTGTTAAAAGTAATCCAACGATCCTTAATCAAGTCAAAAGACACACATTGATCACATTCAGGTTCCACCAAAAATATGTTTACAAGAGATTTTACATTTTTTGGGGGGGGAACATGGAAGGAAAAAAAAAAAAGACTCTTTTCATCCTACTAAATGAGTTAACTGGTCGACCAAAATGTTAACAGATGCTGATTAAACATGGGCTTAGACTAGATTAGCCAACTAGAGAACAATATTTTTTTAAAGCATTTTTTTGTGACTAAGAAACATGACAGACTGCACGCTACTCCCCGATCACTCTTTCACTGCATGCACAGTGTCGTTAAGGAGGAGTTGCTAGCTACCACTTTCCATGAAATGATGACTAAAATATAATTTTGGCTGCCTTATTTGACTGAGCTACACCAGCAGTTTTATTCATATCCCCCTTTGCTTTGGCTTATTTTACAGTTGTACATGACTAAGTAATATTTTTTAAAAACAAAACAAAAACAAAAAACGTAAAACAACTACTACCACTTTATGTGCATCGGGAAACACAACGGAGATGAAAATATCCCCTAGTAGGGCATTTTGTCCTACTAGGGGTTGAGTCCATAGTGTCAAAATGAGCTGGCTAATTGATCTACATAGCAACAGGAAGGTTTGTTGCTCTTTGAGAAAAGTGATTAACTTCTTTATAGGTTAATGTATCAAAGCTTTCTATTGGCCCAAAGATGACGTGAGAGGACGTGATGGACACTATATCTATCCATCTATCTATAGGCATACATGTTTTAATGATACATCATGAGTTTTCCATTGATGGCAAACTAAATTAACAGGAGCTGATCCTAAAGTGTGGCACAAACTGTCTTTATTTGTATATTCTATTTTCATTCATTGGCTTTTAAACCTGACTGATATCCATTTTTTTAAATGTTATTTTAATGCATTTTTACTTATATAGCACCTTAGTAAATCCCTGTTTTTTAAATGTACTCATAAATAAATTGACCCTTTGGCTTTAGCCCTCAAACCTTTGAGAACCATAGTTTAGAAAGAAACCAAAGACACTAAAAAACACTGCTCGGAGCAATAATTTGTGCACGACTGTCCCCAAAATTCAAAGCACAGCGCATGAAACAATCTTGAGCCTATGAACACATTAATATTTTTCAATTCCCAAATTTAACTGAGGAATATAACGCATCTCCAACTTCAAGGAAAAGTACCCTCTCACTGCATATTAGACCACCCTTAGTTTTGTGCATATGCAGCAGACAAACATTAAAAAAAAGCGTCCAACTTTAATCGTCTGCACATTCATTCTGCATGGTGAAGTTCAAACATTCAAGTAAGCAAACAGAGTAGAAAATGACCTTAAGCAGCATTTATCAGGTTGTTCTGGCTCACATTGGAGTGAATGGCATATTTTATTAATCTTCCCCATCAAAGTAATTGACACAACAAAATTCACACCCAGTGATGATCTTCTCAATTTACTTGCAGCTTTTCTGCAAATTTAAACTCACTGTCCTGCCACTGCTGTGCTCCAGGTTACCACTAAAAAAAAAATAACCCACTCAGTGACTCACTGGTTGTGTTGTTTTCCCCCTCTTGACATACAGTATAATTACTCCATTGCAGCTCACGTCATCAGTGCACTTATTAAGTCTACTAGCTGACAATCACCTCTGACTGGGCCTCATTTCATCGCTATGCGCCTTTGAGTGACACAAGCCAAACAGCCTGTTTGTTTGCATTGGCCCCTAACTCGCACGCATACTACATGCCAACATGGCCAAAATAGGGTATGCTCAAAGCTAATAATGTCCCGTCTGTGTTCACTTTTTGGAGGTGGGGGGGATTCTGAGTATTTTATGAGCATGTGTGTTGAGTCAGAAAAATCGAGATCCTGTATGGCAGCAAAACTAACCCGATTAGCTTTGTCATAAAGTTTGAAAGCAGTTCAATAAAAGTGCAAAATGTTGTGGCATAAGCACAAAAAACAGGGAGCCATGCACATCTGTAGTAGTCTCAGAATGTTTCAAGCAAATCTTAGTATCAAATAAAACGATTCTTTGTGGTTTCAGTGGTTACAGATCTGTCCAGACACATGTAGCATCAACCCCCACGGCTGTCAAAGTCACATCACAGAAATTATACATTAAGAGTCAGCCAAGTCTCACCTTCTGTGAGCCACGTCTCTTGGAGCTGGCTTAAATCCTGGAAGAGGTCTGAACAGAAAGACAGAAAAACAAAGAGTGAATATTCATCGACACACAGTAGCTATGACACAGACTGACTGACACTAACCATACATCATGATGTATAACATGTAAAAAGACCAGAGGACAAAACTTCTACTCTTTCACTTTACCTTCAGATTCCTGAGGGGGCAATTCTGTGTCCATGTATTTCCTTTTCGCTGCCATCAACAGTCTATTTAGGGGCCCATTTCCTTGCGACTTCTGCAAAAGCCATAGAGGTTAAGAGAGGAAAAGAAGTGAGAAATGGACTCCCAACAGGGCATTTTAAGCACATCAGTGTCAAAGCAGTTAACAGCTCTTTACTATGGCCAGGAAAAATGGCATGAAGTGATGCAAAAGCTACCACTTGGACTGATGATGATGATAATAATAATGATAACAGTGTCATGGATTACAAATGAGATCCTACTGCAGTTGGTGAGCGTCAAGCTCCACTGAAAACAACTGATTTCCCAGTTGTGGAGGCAATCTTGGAAAAACAAACGCGCCGTATGCGTCTGAACGACGTGACCATTTGGCACACATTGACACGTTCTCCAAACAAACTCGTTCACGTAAGAAACCCCGCGGACAAACATTAAATGCGCCACATTATATCCTTTACTTTGAGTGGGTTTTTTTCATAGTTTTAAGCGGCTTGACAAACAGTTTCCTATCGCGCGCACGCACACACAGCTGCTCCAGCCAAAACTCGTGCAGACGCGACGCCGAGAGAAATGTAAAAAACAAAAACAAAACCCGGTAGCAGAAACGTAAAAAACCAGGCAAAAGAGAAGTGGAGAGTTAATCCGAATATACGTACATTTGCTAAAGTGTAAGGCACTTGCTGGTCCAGATATCCATCCATCTTATAATCCATCCGTTAACCGTTTGTGGTCATTTAGGCTGAGTTGAGTGAGATCCACGCAGCCTGCAGAGAGAGGAGGGAGCGCTGCTTGTGAATGGAGCTGCGTGGAGGCTGCATGCATAATGAGCTCCATTCACAAAAAATGCCAAGGGGAAGCGATGGCGAGTGATTACCCAGCGGGCTGCGGCCCTCTTTACAAATCTTCTTTTTGCGTTTGTGTGTGTCTGTGTGAGTGTGACAGACAGCTCGACAGATTGCAAGTTTCAGGTAAAGTTAAAAACAACAACAACAACAAAAAAAACCGAGCAACCATCTATTTACTTGTATTTGCAGAAGGATGCAGCTTTGTTAGTTAATGTGCGCAAAAAAGTTCCCCTTTCTGGTTCAAAAACACTTCGGATGTTTAGAAAAGTGCACAACATATAAGATGTGTGTATTTGAGACATTTCGTGGGCTTTTTGCCACGTCTGCCCAGATTGCCAGGCTCCACTTTTTTTTTGTAAGAAACTGCGAGGGGAAAACAGATGTTGGATTTTTTGTGAGCGTGTGTTGTCGAGAGGCAACAACTAAACTAAACCCGATTTGATTGACGCACGCTCTTAGATAAAGTTTATACCGAAGTGTGGTGACTTTGAACGCCAGCTGTGCTGTCACTTCTCCAGCATAGATGATTTGGGGGTAATATGGAGACGTGCTTTTCTGGCTCGGTCCAGAGAGACTCGTGATTGGTGGATTTCCTCTTCAAGAGCTCGAATTTCTTGCCTTTGTCCGGATGAATACACTGGCTTATGAATGAAGTCTCGGTCCCCTCTATTAGCCAATCAGAGGCCTGGTAGTCAGGATCCTAGCAACCGTAGGTGGAGTTTGGGTCTTAGCAGCCAATCATATCTCGGCAGGCTGTTAGCTTTTATACTGGATTTTCCAGTTGTTTTTCATTCACAAAAAAGAGAGAGGAAAAAAAAACCCGTCCATTCATAAAAACCTGCCCTGGCACGAAAGTCCTGACATGTTTTTCTTTTCTGCCCAGACAAACTCAAAGAACCTCATGTTGTTTACCTCATTTCATGTCTCTCCCCCATATTTATAACAAGAGATCACAGCCAGGCCAGGAAAAAGTGGAACTAGCCCTGCAGGAGTTACATAGATCAAAATAAGCTTTAAAAAAGTGACGCAAATGAATTCAGGATTAAGGATTCTTACGTTTTTGTGGTTTTAACTCTACGCCACATGATAACCACAGGATTTAAAGCTCTTCGAGGCTGAGAGAATGGGGAAGTGCTCACTGCTTATGAAACTATTTTGCCAAATTAAAGCCACAGAAACAGTTTGAAAAAACAGAGAGAGGCCAGTCAAGAGACAGGAAATCAAGTCCTAAAGGGATTTGCGTTTAGTTTCAGTGGTGAACGAGATTCAGAGATACAGCAATGAGCCTTATAAGAGCATGTGCACCCTCCTCGTCCTCATTTCTCCTCTGTTGATATTCAGTCTCCATAACAAGGGATACTGTACAGGTTATTTCCTGCTTAATGATATTTAGATGCACATTTAGATGTACACAACAGGCTATAAATATTGCATCAGCTCTGCTCTGTACTGCTACAGTAGCACTGAGCAGTTTCACCACTGAACAGGAACACAGACTCAAGGAAATTAGAAAAGATTCTGATAATTTAATTGAATTTAAGCCGCTCAGTGCTCTTCTATAAGATGGTACAGTGGGTCTCAAGTCAGGGTTTGATGCCCCTCAAAATGCTGGAAGATGAAAGTAAAGTGGTGAAAAAAAACCCCCATCAAGTTACACAATTTTGTTTTTCTTTTGCGTAAGACACAGCATACCTTTGCAATCTTTGTTGGATCTCAAACTGCATAAACTAGGGGAGGTTGATATTCTGCATCCATTATGGATTTGCCTATAAAAGCACGCAGCTTCAGGGATGTTTTACGTGTTGTTTTGATGGATTTTCAACGTGTGTGTCAGTGTATGACCTTAAATAGGTCAAAAGACTACAGCTTAGACAGGCGTAGGTTCTCATTAGTCATTTGTCCGTGGTGTATATCGTCAAATAAAACATAAAAAGCAAAAATGAATTGTGATAACACACAGTGTGAGTTATGAAAATGGGTGTGCTGTTTATCCATAAATACAAGTCATTTCAACATATCAGGCCATTTGGGTCAATATGTACCAACAGTTATATGCACTGCAGCTAAATACTCAACCAAGATTTATGATCCCAAACAAATTCTGTCATTTGTTTCATATACCTCTACTGGTTACTCCACGTTTTGACGTATCCAGTAAAATATCTCAAGAAGTTCTATACGTTAAGTTGTGTGCTAAAGAGGATGGATCTGTCTGATATTGTTATCCTTTTAACTTTCCTCTAGCACCACTTCAAGAGTGGCTTTTGTGGTTTCTGATAACGTGTACTAAGCACTTGTTCACTAGAATATTTGGTACACTGGTGTTCACTTAGCTAACCTTATCTCTTTAGACAATCCTACTTGTGTCTAGTGTCAGTCAGAACGCTAATATGCAAAACACTGAGGGTAAACTTGTGGTATACAAATGTCATTGTATTTGTCAAGTTCACAGGATAAAGAACCCAAATGCAGAGGGCTATACTGCAAATGATGTTCAACATAGCCAGGGTTTCTTTGCCTTCACTAGCTCAACAAAACATGAAACTCCAGTTGGCAATAATGGGTATCATGGTGATGATTGTTAGCTCTCTATTTCTTAAGCAGGGCTTTCTGCTTCAGGGTCCGTATGCACTTACATAAAAATGGCCGTCATATGACTCTTCTGCACAAAATGATCCCAATGAGTGCCACCTACTCCGATCAGTGGTCGATGATGAAAAATCTATAAAGAACATAAAATGCAACTATTTTACAAACACTATGAGAAGAATCCTGAGAACTTGCACCTATAAAACAACGACAATGCACTGAAAACATGCTGTGAATATAACAGTCAGTGTCAGTTGATTTTGAACCTGACTATAACTTGCTTGCTGACCAGGTTAAGTACTCAGTAGTTTATCACGGTGATGTAGCCAGGTAGAAGGTCAGCCGCTTTTGTGACAACAAAGCTCTGACTTCCATCTTGATATAGCTTGCTAAACCATGAATCTTGCACCTGTGGTCACAAGAGCAGGTAGATGTAACTGAAAACGAAGCAAACTTTTTATTCAGGTTGATCTAGAGTCCAAAGCGGGTGCACAGGTACACACCTAATAAACATGGCCCTGTGTGTGTGTGTGTGTTAATGTTGTTTTTTAATTTCCAAACTTTATAATAAATGGATATTTTTCACAGGCTGTCCTCATTTATATTACCTGCATTAAGCAAAAATGTAAGAAGCTCTTGTAGCGAGTTAAGATTTGCATGTTATAATCCAACTTCTGCACATCTGGCATTACATTGTTGTCCAGGCACCTACTGTAAAAGCCTTCAAATTCTCAGTACACTACCCTTCTCCAGATACAAAAATTTAAGAGAACGGTCTGGACTATTTATACTCATGGAGTAATTGGGGAAGTGGAGACAGCTGGGGCAAAGGGGACACAGGTGAAGGCAATAAAGACAACCATGGGTAAGGCAGTCAAACTCAGATTTAGATACAAGAGATTAACTGATAATTAACAAAGTAAAATAGGAAATAACTAGAGGTTTAAACTAAGAAAACTCACTGAACGAAGGATGCTGGGGAGACAAAAACATTATACCAAAATATAAGGAACAAATCTCAAATGACAAGCTTCATAAACACTAAACTAGAAAAATAGGAAAAAATACAGAAACAAACTGGAATTGACTCGATACAACTACTAATCAAAAACCTGGAGCTTCTCAATAGCAAAGAAGGTCAAACTGAAAATGCTTAAAAATGAGAAAAACCCATAGACTCTAACATTACCTATATTTTAAAACATCTAAAATCTTTTGATTTAATTGTTCATGTCAGTATTAAAAGCAATGTTTGAAACGCACACAACCCCCCCAGCAACAACAACAGAAAAAGCAAAAACAGGCCGAAAACGTATGAGTCAAACCCAACATAGAAAGCTCACCAGTGTTCCCCAGAGAAGTCACAACCTAAAAAGCCCGGGCTTTACATAACCAGCTCTTTTCCAGTGACCGGTTGGAAAAAAACAAAGATTTTTTGCTGATGGTTGCACTACACTGCGCTTTATTAAAGCAACACTCAACATTATGGTGCCGTTACCACAGAGTATTGGCAAATACCTGCAAAAATAAGTCAGATGTGACAATCCACGTGACCGGAAGACATGTGAAAATTCCCCATTTTCCCTGTGAAAAAGACGATCTTTGTGTTTGTAAATGATCTCTTTCTTTATGCAAAATGAACTTTTCAGATGTGAAAAACGACGCTGTTATTTCAAAATCCTCACATGGAAACCCCCTCTCTCTTTGGCTTACTGTTACTTTTCACCCACGAGTCAACATTTTTACATCTAAAGTGGGAACTGTCACATGTGCTTCCAGACAATGCACCATGGAAAAAAAAAAAGTTGACTTTGGAGATGTGGCACGTGCTCGGAAAGCACACATGTTTTTAATTCGACTTCCTCAAATTGGATAAAAGAGGAGAAAGGAGCAGAAACAGCACGTTAAGTACCTACACAGTGATACACCTACATTTAGCGTTGTGCTGATACAGTTCTGTTGCTACAGCTTATGCAAGATTTACAACTTCTTTAGGTCCTTTAGGATGAATGGAGAAGTGAAGCACATGGGCAGTGACTATAGATCACCTCCCATCTATTTCATTTACAGAACACACATACACACGCATAGTGCTGAAAAGCATTGTGAAATCTATTGTAATAGTCATCCACCCTTCAGTCTAATATAGCTTTGTCAGCAGAGAGATAAGTACTAACAGAGACAGAGGGGAGACATTTTAAGTTCAGTGCGGTGCTGCAGAGTGGACTCAAAGTGCTTATTGATCAAAGCTGGCTGTGCTTGATGGATGGATGAAATGTTATTATAGCTTTAGCTGTTGCCGCTATGGGGAGAGAAGAAGTGAGGTGTGTTGAAATGGAGGAAAGATGGGCAGAAAGTTTTCCAAAAGAGTGAAATGCTTTCAATAAAGAACGAAATCAAAGCATAAATGCATGATG